CTTACTCTATGTAAATGCGGACAGTAGTTAATTAAGTCATCTTTGACAATTGCATTACTTTATCAATCATGTTTGAGCAGTATTCAAAACTTTGAGTGGAAAAGGTTCACTATTGAAAATGAGACTCATAGCTAAGCAAATGAATTACTTAAAATCAATATGTTGCAATCCTCAAGGGCTGCGCCATTAATTTTTTGGAAATACTTAGTTACTGAAAATCCATGACAGTGTTTATGAACTTCAGAAGGTCGGGAATTTTGACCAAAATAGTGGTATTTTCTTCCCATAATTTCTATGCTACAAGGTTTTGGTTATCCAGTCAGAGAACAGAAGCAATCTGATCATGTCATGCCAGGGGTTGTGAATTACAAATAGCAGTTGTAGCATACAGTTTGTGAACCACCTCTCCTACAAAAGTTTTTCACTAGAACTATTTGGTGAATACTTATCCATGATAAATACATGCGGAGATCTCAGGGATGATTCACTTCTGACATGTGAATAAAGAAACAAGACTAAATTAATCATGTTCCAGATTCACTTAATGAAATGAAACCCTGCCAAAGTACTTCAGTTTGATTTATAAAGCTTTTAGAGCATAATGTTTTGGGAGATGGTTATCCGAGATACTACCTTTTTCCTCCTTACAGTGCCACAGAGGAAGTAGATACTGCGTGGCTTCCTGGAACAGACTGACACTACAACTCTTAATTTTCAGTAAAGGCATYTTCATGGACAAGTCTGGTAAAGAAGCATGCATTTCCCTGGATGGTCTGATAGAGTTTGATGCCTGATTACTTAACCTAATTCTTATGTCAGAATAAGAGCAAGAATTGAAATTAGTTTCTTCTGGAGTCTTTTTTCCATTTTTTTAATCTATGGAAGTCTTTCAAAATTATATATGTGAATCCTGTCACTAGGAAATATGACCCAATGCCCTTGATAAGTTAATATTCAATGAAATGAATGCACAAATATTGCAGACTGACACAAAACTACATTTGGGCATCCGTAATGATGCAACAGACTTCAATTGCAAGAAAAATTGACAATAGATGAAACTACTGTGTGGGCTACTGAATTTGCACAAATAGATTTTCTCACCAACGATACACTAGTTGCCTTTCATGCTACTCACAACAAACAAATTTCTTATCTGACCTGCAATCATGGGATTCTTACAGTAGCAAATATTATACTTGGCACACATTTGTGGGATGATGACTTAGAAGTATTGTATTTATAGTTGGCAGCATTCCTTATAGCTGTATATTATTCTATGATGYTTGTGACCTATACCTTTGAACAGCTTACTGAAGTAAAACCAAATAGAAAGAGAAAGGTCAACGGAAAATATCACTTTTCCAATGCTTTCTGAAAGAGAAGACAAAGTATCAAAATGGCTGAGGTGCCAGATGAAAATTAATTTAGAGASTTTGCGTTTGTTCACCCTGAAATAACACTCCAAGCCTTACAAAAGCACACCCAGATGAAAGATGTCTTTATATGTCTATCTTAAGGTCAATACCTCTGGGAACAAATTATAAGAAATTTTGCCAAGAGCTTATCCCACAACAAACCATCTGAAATAACCTATAAATAAAATATCTGTGAAGGGAATCACAGGTACGGAGAAAAGAGTGTTACATGGRTGAAAAAAAGTAATGGAAAACCTGATATTTCTTACAGCCAAAATTGAATCAGAAACCTGGAGTTTCCCCCTGCTTTGGTGACCTCTGATGAAAAAACAGCTCATGTAACCGCAGGTTTTCAAGAAGGACTGTGTTCAGGGTGAYAGGTCACCTCASGGCCTGTCTCAGTTYRAAAGACAGGTGTCTGCCAATGAAACCAGGAGCCTCCAYTGSAATGGAGAATAYGAGCCTCCTTCCCTCCAAATTTTTGTAACTTTGAAATTAAAGGGCTTTCAGGCAAAGACACAATAAAAAGAATAACAGCTCTTTATTAATATGTATAACAAGGCAAACAAACATCAACAATGGTAACAACAACCAACAACAGCAGAAGCGCAGTGCCGGCCCGCTCCGGGCTGTCCCTCGCCTCCCCTGTGCTGCAGTTCCGGTCACAGCCGGCAGGGGGTGTTGGTGGCTCTGGCCGGGCAGGGCGGGGGCGGTGATTCCTCCGCACCGGCAGGGGGCGCTGTGGCGCGGGGTCCGCTCATCTTGCTCCCTCTCACACAGCAATGGAGGGTGCAGGCGGCAGGAATGGATGGAAAAAGGGCTTCCTTTACGAACTCACAGGGGAAGCTGATGCTGGTCCCCCTTTGGACAACAAAAGGAGTGGTAGCAGGAACCTGGGAGTAGCACGCTGGGAAGGCAGGGCTGAGCAAAGTCCCAGAGTGGTGGATGAGATGTATCAGAAATTCGGCAGCTGCAGCTGGAACCGCGGGGCGTCCCGGAAGGGCAGCAGGTGTGAGTGACAGTGAGTGTGGCAAAGACACCTCGGAGCAGTGGCAGGGAAACAGCGGGGGCTGGGCAATGCCCTCCTGGCTCCTGAGCACAACCGAGAGAAGCTCCCTTGGAGGGGAAGGGATCTCAGGGATCCCGGGGTTTCCCTGAGGCACCCGAGCAGATGGTGAAGGGTCCTTTGTTTGCTGGGGCAGGGTGTTAATAATGTCCCAGTGCAAYGGCTGCTCTATGAGCAAAAGCTCACCCATGGCAGGACACAAACAGAATGCTGGGCTCTGGAGGCAGAGTAAATGCTCCCCCTACCCAGGCTTGACTGTCCTCCTGAAGYGGAYWGAGYAAGAAAGCTAGGAGCTGCACCCAGCCCCCTTTCTCTAGGCCAAATCTAGCAATATCGCCAAGAGAAACCCTCCAGATAAGAAGATAGCCAGCTGGACTCCCCATCCCATGGAGCTCAGCTAGTTCTWTTGTCTTTTCCTAAGTACCAGTCATTATTGTCTCTTAGCAACAGATGGGACAAATKTCCCTAAAACAAAAGGAAAAATCCTAACCTCCAACAGGGCCCTGTCCACAGCTCCGTGTTAGCCTCATCCCACTGGGACAAGGGGGAGAGGTGCCTTGGATGCCCTGCATTCTGACCAATGTGTGAAGGGTGTATGATGGGCACCCCTGCCCTGCCACCCTGGGGGAGCCCCTGGTGCTTCAGCAACTGGAAACAGCTGGGCAGCTGGGTCAGGATCAACCTCCGCGTGTGCCTGGCACTGAGAGAGCCCTGCACATGGCAAGCTGAGTGTCTTGGGGATGTCTTTTCATCCCATCCCATCTTCGGTTTTWTTGGTTTGTGTTTTGTGTCCARGATGGTCACTGTCTCCATCTCCAGCTCCAGGGATATCGTGATAAGTGACAGCCAGCCCGAGACTTCCTGCGAGAGTTGGGAGGGCGGGCAGGGGATCAGGGGCAGTTGTCTCCCTCTTGTGGAGGATTTGGGTGGGCCAAATCCAGGGAGCCACTGCAATCACTCTCACAAGCRATACCATAGCTGCTTGGTGCTCTGACCATTGTTTTCCTCCCTTTTCCCTTCTGCACAGTGACTGGAGCTTCCTGGCTTGCTTTCCCTGCTTCTTGGGAGTCCAGAGCCAGTGCCCGGCCCGCCGAGACCCAAGAACGCACTGAGACCGAGGAGCACGCCGTTCCCTGACGTGGGGGCTGCCCAATGTGTGCAGCCCGGATCCAGGAATCAGCCATTGCCACTTTGGGCCTGCCCCTGGAGTCTCTGYTACCTTTTGATTGTCACTCCCAAGGTGAGCCATCCCTTGCCGTCCCCTGACACTGCTCCAGAAACCCCTGCTGCAGCCTATTTTGGCACCTGGAGGGGGACAGGGATCAGCTGCCCCTGTGAAGCTGTAGAGAAGGCTCCTCTTCCATCCTTTTCCCGTTGGCAGCTCCAACCATCACGAGGTGAGAAGAACTGAGCTCACGCCACAGTGGCCCCTGCAGGCGCGGAGGAATCATCGCACCCACCCTGCCTGGCAGGAGCCACCAGCGCCCCTGCCGGCTGTGACYGTAACTGCACCGCTGGGGAGGGCATGGGACAGCCCGGAGCAGGCTGGCACTGGGTTTCTGKTTTKGTTTGTTGTTGCTGCCATTRTTGCTCTTTGTTTGCCTTGTTATACATAATAGCAAAGAACTGTTATTCCTTTTCCCATATCCTTGCCTGAAAGCCCCTTAATTTCAAAGTTATAATAATTTGGAGGGAAGGGGCTCATATTCTCCATTCCAAGGGAGGTCCCYRCCTTCCTTAGTAGACACCTGTCTTTCAAACCAACACAATTAAGTCACATAAATCCAGGCAAGACCATGTATTTCAAGCACCTTGGGAAAGTGCAGCAAATGTTTCATTAGTTCTCCATAAGATAATAAAGTGTCATATTTGTGTCACTAATCACAAAAGCTATTTATAGCTGTTTTAAGACTGTACTGATGCAATTAAAATTTTAGAAATACTTTCTCTCAGCCAGGTTATGCAGGTATGGGAGGTACTCCCTCAGCACTTTCCTTATTGTACCTAATAGCTTTCCAGCCCTTTGAATTTGGGACATTTACAAGTTTTCATACCATTAAGYCATTAAGTATTACTTAGTCTGCAGCAATAAACTATAAGGCACCATCATTTATATGCTGAAACACAGCAACTCATTTAGCCAAGTTGTGACAATACTTTCTAAGTCTTCTTTAACACTTCATTCATTTAATRGCAATTAACTAATACAGAGCTATTAGAAAAATTATGAAAYTRTTACAGAAATAGCAAATTCWCTTCTTGTACCAATGAGAGAATCTCTGTTGGAGTCAATGGATGTGGTTCTTATTACACAGCAAATGGGATTTCCAAACTGTATGTTTTCATGCATTACTGAAAGACCTCTAAAATCAATTTGAGAGTGAGGGTTGCGGTACTAATCCAGTTGGAAAAAAAACCCCACAAATCTCATGCCATGTCACTGAGCCCAAATAACTCACATTTTTAGAGACTTGTGTTCATTTAGTTGGTTTTTTTTTGTTTTTTTTTTTACTTACTGCTTTATATGTTCTCTTCTGTCCAGCATGTTTTCTGATTTGTTCTCCATTAGGCCCAGTTTCCACATGCATGGAATAGATAATGTCAAAGAAATCTTCTACAACGGCCACCCGCCGTAAAGACAGCTTCTCATCTACACCTACTCCATCCTGAAAAAAAAAAAAAAAAGAGGGAACAGAAAAAGTAAGGGAGGCAAGATGAATAGATAAACTATGATAATCATGAGACACATTGTCCTTTTTTAGAAGGGAGTTAAAGACCCTTCTAATTAATGTCTGAAGATGACCCACCCTKCAAATGATAGACACAGTATTATGGGAAAAATATGTGATCAGAAGGATCACACAGACTCTTGCAAGTAGTCCATTCTGCCAAACCAGGGCATCTGGCCTCTTGATAGCAAGTGATCTTCCACGCCAGTATTAAAAAATAAAGAAAACAAAAAGTATCAGTGCTTCTTTCTCCAAATGCACAAACAAGATTCAAAGGCAGAAGCAGTCCCAAACACATGGCACAAAAATGCATTATRTGGTTGTTAGTAAGGATGCAACAGCTCTTTTATTCTCTCATTCCCTTCCCAGTAAATCTGTGCCTAGCATTTCACAAAGGTATTTAATAGAAGGTTTAATTTAAAGGGTTGATGGTAATGAATACAAAGGAAGTTGCTACAAATAATTTACCCCGGCAAAAATTGCCTCATGACATACTACATGAAGACATACCACAATAGGAGGAAAAGAAAGGGATGTAAAGGGATATTTTTGCACACAGATGTCCAGCTGGAAAAAGTGACAGAAAAGTGAGAACACCTAGCATCTGATTTTCAAAAGTGATAGTGTCAWGGTAGCTAAAGACTTCTAAACAGAAACAGTCCCCAATGTCTCCAAAATTAATCAGTGCAGTTCACTTCCTCCCTTTTTAACAGAAACATCCACATGAGGTTTTGATTGTTTTACAGCTGCCTATTAACTCAGTTCTAATGAAGGGACAGGAACTTGGACTCCTGCTTTTCCAGAACAGACACCTACCAAGCAGGAYGCATCTTGTAATACAGCATCAGTATATGAAGAATAAGAATGGCCAATTCACTTGTCCTCCAACACTGTGTTCAAATTTAGRTCTTTGGAGGCAGCAGTATAACCTAACATTCACTGTGTATTTTAAGCAATAAGGGTGTTCCAAACTTAACATAATTTATACTACCATTACTGCTCATGTAAGTCATGCCACAACAAAACTGWTTTACATGGACACTTCCATGACAAAACACATGCAGACTGCAGTGACCAAATAAAGACAAAAGATGAGAAATTAAAAGGTAATAATTAYGTATGACTCCCACTTGCTCCATGCTCAAAACTTTTTGCTAACCCACTACAGTAAGTTTGCTGTATGTGGACAAACATGATTCATTTTTCTCACTTCCCCTATTTTTATTCCAGCCCACTTAGATTTTTCATATGTTTTAAAGAAAGAACCCAAATAATCCCAACAGGTTCAAAGAACCCCCCAGGGTGACACAGAAGAGCTCTGACACATTCCTARTAGCAATGGAGAAAATGTCAATGCCTTTAGAGTGTAACCTTCTAAAAGTGCAGTATTCCAAGTGATAGTGGGTTAAGAGGTGTCGGTACACGACCAGCCAGACAGGTTACACCCTGTCCTGCTCCACTATGCCCAGCATTCTTCAGAGAGGTCCCTGCCCAAAGCTACATCATCTTTTCCATCATGTTCTTTATCCCCAGGAGACAGCTGCACCTGGGCAGAACCCCAGCACATGTGTGATGAGAGGACTATGTTGTAGCATTTCTAATGGAAATGACTGTGCTGAGGATTGARGTGCAAGAAGATAAGGAATTTGCAGGGCAGTCTCCATCACAGGTTAAAGTCTCAGATCAGCTGGTAACAGTTGCTCTGAGAAAGGTGCAAAGCTCCCAGCCACTGATCAGTCACTGACCACCACCTCAAAAACTTCGTGGCATTGTGGCAGATTTTGGTTTACKCATCATTAAGAATTTGCTTGGTACTACCCACCACCATTGCCTAATATTTTTAAAAAAAATGTAGCTTTAGAGACAGGGCCTACATCAAATTCAGATCTTTGCAGCTTTAATCTTTAGGGGAATTCACATGTGAGCACTGTAGGGGGGCCCATCTTCAATCATTATTTTCTCACCACCCAAACAGCACAGTGGGATCCCTGATGATTTCAAACACTTTTATTATGACGACAGTGTTATCTCACACTGCTCTCCRAATACTCAGAAGTTTATAGTGTTGATTAACTGACAAAGATTTAATCTGTTTATTACTAATGAGTTTTGTTTTATGAAATTTCCTGCGAGGGAGCTCTCTTTTTTAATTAAAGAGAAATGCTTTACARCAATATTAATTTAAAACCTGAGATGCCACCTCAGCAGAGCTGACACATGCAAACATTGCAAATACATTCAAAGAAGAAACTCGAAAATGAAACTCATTTTGCTGCTTTTGGTGGCCAGTGTGCAGTGTTCTCTCTAATGGTCCTCCTGCCTCCCTCCCCAGACATAGCTACCCAAGGACTGGCAGGTATGAATGATACGGGGTGCTCTTGAAAAAGCATTTCTCCATGCAGCCAGCTAAAAGAATAAGCATRGATACTACTCCTAAAAATACACAAAAATAAAGTTTGCACAAGCCRTCATGACTCCTAATTGAAGTGCTAGAAAATGAATACAAACTTTCCAAGCCTTGTCAGTCAAAAAGGGTAGGAAAGAAACAGTTTAAATGGAGTAAAAACTTCTTCAGGGGAAAATGGGGCTATTATTTAATATCTACAAAACGGTTTAAATGGAGTAAAAACTTCTTTAGGGGAAAATGGGGATATTATTTAATATCTACATCTATAACTTTGTCTGGTGGAGCCTGGCCATGACTGAGTTGGCTTCATCCTGCTTGGTGCTGTCTAAGACAATAAGATAGACCTTGATTCAAAGTACCTGCAGTGCTGCATAAGGTGCCAAATTGCTGTGAGTGAACTGTTCAGTTCATCCAGCAACACACAATGCTGTGCAGAGATGTAAGCCTCAGCTGCAGAAGCATTACACYAGATGAATAATTTGAATAAGGTAGCTAGTTACTGACACTTTTGATATTCCATACTGACATCCCAATAGGTAAAAAGCTGGGCAAATGATAAAACCTCAAATCTCCATTTAAACCATGAAGTCTCTGAAGTGGATGCAGTTGTATCAGGTTTTCCTGCCATATGCCATTACACTACACTTTTATCCTGAAACTTCTATTTTATAAAGGCATTAGCAAAGCAGCTCTGCTTTATAAGCTGGCTTTGGGTAAAAATTTTCACAGTGCCTAAGGGGACATTTTTTTTAGCGTCAACTAAGGCTAAAAAAATATCTGAATGARAGAATGCCTCATAATGCTATTCCCATGACTGAAAGGCTATGAAATGTCCACAAGGGACAGGACAAGTAATAGACTTAAACCACAGCACAGGAGATTTACATCAGACATTTGGAAAAACTTACTATTGATGTGGATAGTCAAGTACAGTAACAGTTTGCCTGGGGAGCCTGGGGGATGTATGTCACAGGAGAATTTTGAGACCAGGTTAGGCAAATATCTGTCAGGGATAGTATGAGTAAATCCTGTCTTATGTAGACTAGATATTAATTGAGTTTCTTCTTGATAACTCTAGGAAGCTTAAATGCCACTTTCAAAGTGACTTGGGCACTAACAACTCTGGAATCGCAAGGAGAATATTTATAAATCACTGAGGTATTTTTAGGACTTTTATTCAGCATGGAAAGAGTCCAAGCCTCACTTTCAAAAATTACTCAGGAATGGAAGCCTCACTGAATTTTTCACTTCAAGCATTGGACTCAGASTTTTAAATCTTTTAGGCTGTTTCACTCCTCTCCCTTCAGCCATCAGTASAGTGTGCTATGCCCTGTCCTACACCAGTTGTCTCAGATACACCTCTCTGGCCAACTGTGTGACAGACACTGACAAACTGCATTAATCCCTATAGCTGTTGGAATGGCTTCAGTCTGTATCAGTGAGATGCTGCTTCATTTTACTCTTTGCATTATAGCTTTTTGTGTTTACCCTTGGTTTTATGTATATCCAGAGATCTTCGTATGTTCATARGATACAAATAAAGAGAGGTTTCTTTTCATTTTCAGCACTACAAAATCCATTTGTACTCTGAGATTAAAGCTGTTTGCTTGTTCGTTTTTAGGTATCTACACAAAACAAAATTTCTGAACAGAAGTGAATTTTACAGAGTTGTGCAGCTCTCAGGAAGTGCTAAGGATCTCTTTGAACCAGGATGCTTTGGGAGACAGGCATCTGTCTCAGGCATCYGAGGTTGAATCTACAGGGCTTGTTGGAGTACACAAAGGAGGAAAGTTCGCCAGTAAAGTGAATAGATAAAACTCTTAAGGCAGCAAAAATATCTATTAAATGAAAGGTTGTCATTTTTATAGTTACTTTGCAGAGGAGAAAAAAATTTAATACAAGCCTTTAAAATTAATGCCACTGAAACAAAAGTGCCTGTAATTCCTTGCTTGAGAATAGCTGCCCCATCTTCTGTTGACATTTCTAGGAGGAAATAGGTCCCATAAAACACTCTCTTGCTTTATGAATGAAAGTAACTATCAGTATCTTGACAGTGTTTGAAAAATATTCCTATAAAGACATGATAGACAGAAATAGAAAATAAAAGGAAAGTCTTGGTTGGTAGTTTTATGGAAAACGTTCAGGTCTATAAAAACCTCTGTTGTAAAAGCATCAAAGCCAGGAGCACCTACAAAACATTAGGAGTAGATGCAAACAGTAATGCACCTAAATATTTCATTACATAATATAAATCACATGCAATTCAAAGACTGCTTTGAGTGCAGAAATACGATGTGTAACATTTTTCTCATATAACCAATTCAGACAACAGCAGAGTTAAAGCTCATTTATATCCCCACACCTTTGCTGACTCATATCACATTTTGAGTTTCCCCTTGATGAGAMGCAAAGTCTCTTGCTGACTGAAACGCCTACCCTGCATGAACAAAAAGTTTTGCACATAGCCCTATGTGTTGTTAGTTCATGCATAATGAGCTCCTGATGTGATTGTATGTAGATGTTTTACTCC